TAGTTGCCACAGACCAAAGCTCATGAGATACAGGGTAGACTATACTGGAAGTGACAGGAAACCAGTGTCACCCACGCACTGCCTGCAGAGGCTCCTGGGAGATGATCATCACATAAAGGCCCTGGTGCCACAGTCAGCCCTCAGACTGAGGCACAAAGGTGCCGTCCTCTGCACTGATAGGATTTGTGCTGGTAACATCTTTAGATTTATTTATACGTGTCCACTGTGGACAAGAAATCACTGTCTGGCGAGGTGATGGTGTGAGTTCTCCTGAAGGCGTCAGTTACGCTCCCTTGTATGAGCAAGAAGGTTATTCATTTCCTTCTGAGATGAGACATTGTTAGAAGTGAGTGGCCCAGCCCCTTCCTCAGGTACAAAGCCCCTGCTAGTTCTCATAATTGATTCTGAGGGCTACAGCAACCTCATTCCATCAGCCATTCTGTGTGTACCCAGGATATAATTCATGTGCGCTGGAACATCCAACATGGCCTGCGAGCCTGGACCTAACCTCCTCATAGCTACATCATTTTTTAATCAGCTGCTCGGGGAATATTTATCTAATCAACAAAGACAACTGTCACAAGGAGAGCAGAGTTGACATTAATTAATACGTCTGTCTTCCTGGCGCGGTGATGGAGAAAGAATTTAAGGTAAAACCTTGTTGGCTTGAACATGCCAACAGACTAAGGAATATTTTTCTTCTGGTTATAAAGAGCTGCTTAGATGTCTCAGCCCTGGAAATCTGCGTTCTGGTTGTTTTTCATGCTGTGGTAAAATGAAGTGATTGTTTTATTTAGGAAAACAGAATAACAGAAACTTCAAAATGAAGTTCTGAGTCCCTAAAGGTCATGCAAATCCATATGAAAAGCTAGCTTCCAAGAGTAAGGTGGTGTGCAACAATCGAGACTTGTGGATGCTAAGTGATTCCAGTCACTCTCTCTTCATAGAAAGCCGTAATTTACACATTTTTCTTTCCTCTGTCTTTGAAAAGACCGAGGCTGTCTGTTAGTGATTACCACGAGTCAAGAGTAATATGCCATAGCTCGTTTGCTCAGACAGACCCCGGGTTCTTCACTCACAGGCACTTTACAAACACACTGTGATGGCGGTTATACCCGTCACTCATGTTCAGAGCATGGCGTTGGCGCGTTCTTCTACAGATCTGAACGTACAGGGTGGCATCCACCTCATAGCCAACCTGGAGCCTATTGAGAGAAATGACCAAACAGCCAAATATGGGTATCAACACTCTCATCCCTCCTGATGGTTTGATTTCCCGGGTTCCAGTGGGGGGGGGGCATCTCCTAGTCCCCAAGGATTGCTCTCTCTGTCTAGCTTAGTACTCCTAAGAAGTGCATATTTTCAAAGAAAATCAGTGGTACCATTGGCGAAGCACATGGGCACCAACGGTGTCTCTGCATTTTTAGCTGGAGCTTTTCCAATTTTTAGTCCTTCCAGTCCTTAGAAAACAACTTAGCAGCCAGTGGATCTTGTGATCTCGGATCATCAACTGGATATGACATAGAATCACCCTAGAGACAGACAGACAGACAGACAGCTGCATGTCCCTGTGGTGGAGTTTCTAGACACGTTAACTGAGGAAGGAAGACAATTAAGGGTGTAAGCCTTACTGTGGGTAACACCAGTCCACAGACTGGGGTCCTGGGCTGAGTGAAAGGGGAAAAGGAGCTGAGCAACAGCATCCATTTCTCTCTGCTTCCTGACGGGATATGAGGTGACCAGCTGCCTTCCCCACCATGACGGGCTGGGCCCTCCAACTGTAAGCCAGATTAACCCCTTCATTACATTGCACTTGCCGGATGTTTCCCCACAGCAACGAGAAAGGTATTCATTATACAATACAGTGGTGATACATTCAAATCTCTCCCCTAAGTACTCGGCCATCAACCTTGTTTGCTTCTTGGGCCCCCTGCTTTGGCTGTCCTACAGCAAGCCCGTGTGTGACTGAGTTGACCGTGTGTGTTTTGTTGTTGTTGTTGTTAGGAGGGCGACCGTGGTCCTTCGCACTCAAAGCTGTGTGTTACAAATGAACACTTAGGTGTTCTCATTAGAAATGAGAAGGGAGAGATCACACCCAGGGTGTGTATTTAGGTCCAACGTTGTGTCTTCTGGGATGCCGTGTCCATGCAGGTGTCTAACATGGGAGACCTTGCTGCTGCTGCCTTGTGTCTTTAGCTACCTGCCCTAATCCAAATGAAAACCTGGGCTTATCCCAGAAGCACAGCCATAGGGTAAAAAGTGCAACCACATGCTTTCACCATGCTGTCTTTTGTCTAGCTACACGTGAAATTCTGAGAAGTAACATTAATAGCAAAATCTAAATGTTAGCCTGTGTTTTAAAAAAAATGTTCATAAAAGTTTTTGAAAACCCTCAATTTTTATTTAGAGATTATCCAAATGGGGTCTAATGTTGCATGTCTGTGGCCTGAGGCTGGATGCATGGTCAGACCTTCTGAGGAAGAATAAGTAAGGGTTACACAGAAAACATCATCTTTTGAGCATGGCAGCTTTAGGCATCACATCTCTTGCCAGGTCTGAGACCAGGGGCTGATGGGTAGTCTTTGATGGTCGGCCCACCGCATCAGGCTGAAGACATCAGGGAACTCGGTGTGGTACCATGTGGCTGGGTACCATGTGGCTGTTCCCCTGAAACGTTACCCAGGATCCTGATGGTAGTTCTTGTTGGAAAGCTCCTGAACAACACAACTTAAGCAGTCAGTGCCCCAGGAGACAGATGCTCACATCAGGACCGTGGTACCAGCCAGAAAACCACCATTTGTTTACGAGGAAGAAAAAGCCGTGGCATTTTATACGTTGGAATTGATTATTTCATCAATAGGTTAATAGAAATCCAGGCTGTAAGTTCACTTCCTGGTTATACATCCTAACCGTAATGGGAGAACAGAGCATGAAAAATGCAGAGTGCAGAGCAACCAGGAAGAGGTTTCCAGGCTGAGCTTTACCCCTCTGCAGAGCTCAGCCGGGATTCTGCCTATTTATATGTAAATGTCTAGAAGGAGGTCCGCTTCCCCATGAAGCTTTGTAGTTACCACTTCTTTCTGGAACTTGTGAAATATGCCCCAAGACTCTGGGAGCATGCACTAGTGAAAAATGAAGCCCGTGCCCAGTTGTAGGAACACAGTGTAACCTGAGGGGGTGTGGGGAGCACCAGTCCTTTGACTGTCCTGGAAGACTGTGAGCAGTTGGATTTCCTTCATTGCTCAGAGTTGACATCAGTACTGGCTGATATCTAAACAAACCTTCCCGGATGTGGTGTTTCCTGGTATGGACACAAGACCTTAAAGACCCAGAGATGAGCAAAACCCCTTTACCCTTCTCCCCCGACCATGAAAAGATAAATTTCAGTCCACATACAATAAGCAGAAGACTCCAGGCAGGAGCTGTAATAGGTATTTACTGGTTAGGGATTACATTTCTTCCCAAATTATTTGTTTGGTCTTCACGCTGCAAAGTGAGCCTTAAGTGTTTAATTATAGCAGCTTTAATCATTTTAAATCAATGGGCAGTGAACTCACAGCTGTCTGCTCTCGTGATTACACTTTTTTCATTCTGAATATATAAGGTGTATTTCAGAACCAGCTTTCCTTCCTTGACAGCTCAGGTTTCTCACATGAATCTATATAAAGAAGCCCAATGACAGTGACCGGCAACTGAACTCACCTAGACATCTCCCAAGGTCACTCTCTGCCCATCAGAGACCCGGCGTCCACACGTCCTAGCCAGGGCCTGACACCACACTGCCTGCAATTGAGTGACTTGAACACAGCCTCCAATGGAAGTGGTTAACCTCTCCTGAGTCAGGGAGGCCTCAGCACCAGAGCTGACCATTCCCCAGCACATGCTCCCCTCTGTGCTGGAAGCTTCCAGCAGGTTCTCTTCCTGGCTGTGGAGTTGAGAAGCAGATGGCCCATGGTGCCCTTCCTCGGGAGCATGGAAACTTTCACCCCTGCTAAATATTTTGCCTACTTGTCTGAGGCTTCCCAGAGCCACCTTGTCAACTCTTGTTAGGTTCTGTAACCTGTATCTGCAAGGGCTGAGGGAATCCTCAAACTGTCCTTCAGGCCTCAGTTATCTGATGTGTGCATATGTGCATGTCTGTGGGGTGTGTGTGTGTGTGTGTGTGTGTGTGTGTGTGTGTGTGTGTGTGTACACGCATGCACATATGTGTGGGGGGTGTGTGAATGGGAGGTGTGTGTACCTGTAGTGTGTATGTGTGTAAACACACACACACACACACACACACACACACACACACACACACACAAAAGCACATATCGCTGTCCAAGGTAGTCTTTAGAAGGAAGGGGCCAAATGGAGTGGAGAGCATGTCTGTGTCCCTGGAGTGTCTCATCACATGTCCGTAGGGCACTATGTCCAGTTGGCTCAGAATTTTACTCCTAACCCCAACATTCCCCCAGAAGTGACTTGGCGTCTGTCCTTTGTGAAGCCTTTGAGGAGGCATCTGCTGTCAGGGAGCCCACCTGGTCCTAGGGCCCTTCTGCTTTAGGCCAGTGTTCATCTCACAAATGGGGTTGAGGTTGAGTTGACAGCGATGTTCTTGTTATAAAAGACCTGCTTCTGAAACGTGCAGGCCGACGCTGCTTGCCTCTGGACCGCAGCCCACAGCAGCCCCAAGGCCAGCACTGGCCCTGGACAAAGCAGCCCGGGCGCAGCAAAGGGCGCCTGCCTGCACACGGGCCTGGGGACATCCTTGATTTTGTGAGCACTCCCCTGGGTGCTGGCTCACCTCTACCCTCCTCACCTCTGCTGTCCTGGGGGGAGTGGAGGGCCAGTGGAGGAGCCCCTGGTCCTCCCCACCTGCCCCTGCCCCTGCCGCCGCCGCGCACTCAGGTGACTTCACGTGCTGCTTTGACGTTTCTTTTCTCCCTTTTTCATTTGTTTTCTTTTCCTTTTTGTCGTCTCTTTCTCCCCCTGCCCTCTCTGCTCTCGGGATGCAGCCAAACGCAAAGCATGGAAACTAAACCGTGTTGGTAGCCTGCGCAACATATACAGCAGCAGCAGCACCAACACCGAAGGTAACCGCACCCCGCCCGCCCGCCCGCCCGCCCGCCCTGGCTCCCGCCCCCCCTCCCCCTCCCTCTCCCCCGTGCAGACATGGAAATGCACCCGCCCGCCCCGCAGCCGCATGCTCCGTGTTGTGTTTGCAGTCGGCCCTGTGGTCTTTTCATCCTTTTGTTTGTGTGTTCTATTTTACCATTCATGTTCCTTTCAGCTTACTTAAATTTTGACCTTTCCCTTCCGTCGTGGAGTAGTGATGTTTAAATTACTTTGGAAACCTATTTTCTCCTCTTTTTCCCCCCTTTCCTTTATACATGTGGGCACTCAGTGTAATATTTCCCAAGTTATTACAGTTTTTAAAAGTGTTAGTATCAGGTGTAATGATCTGTAGCCAAATACAATAGTGTGCCGTGACATTTAAGTAACAGTCTTAATTTGTTTTGTGGAAGCATTCTCCATAATGCTCTCTGCAGCTCTAATCCAGAGGCAGGCAGGCCCGGGCCATTTGCATGGGCTGCTATTGCTTGTAAATTCCGTATATTGTTTTGTTTCTAAAGGTCGTCTGGTGCCAAAGTTCACAAATTGACTTGGGTTGCTTTTTCACCGAAGACAGCCGTCATTGCTTTTGTATAATAGCAGATTGAATTCCCCCCCACACCTTCATTTGAACAACACAATTATAAATTGCCTTTTTTTTATGATTACAAATGTCAAGGGTCAGGATTATTTTGATACCAGGCAAGGGAGAACCAGCGCCATCCACTCAGGTATAGGAAAAGAGGCTGGCGGGTAATACGCGATGCAAAGCAGGTCACAATCCAGCGAGCTTGGTATAATGGGGGGATTTCGTTTTCACTTAAGTGCGAGCCAAATGGTCAAGTAATGGCGAGCTCGTGCCCTCACACTAATTGACTTATTTGGGGATGATTATAACTGTAATATTTTTCTTAATGTCACTGTTTTCTGGGCTGTTGATTTTAGCGATTGCCAAGTAGTGGCATTAAATCTCCTGTAAATTTTAAATTGCACACTATTTCTGTAAACAAGTCCCTTCTTCACATCCCAGTCATTAACCTTTCCTGATTTATATCCCGTCCTCTCTCTCTTCCCTTCACAATTACTCCTGCTTCACCACCAAAAGCCCTGCTCTTGAACAGAAATGAATGCACAAAGCAAAAGCCACCCTCACAGGGCGGCTTGTTCAAGAGCCATTTTGTAATCCCAGTTTGGTTTCCACTCGTGGAGAGGAGGTTATTGGTTCAGGTGTAGGTGTACCCTGGCCCGGCCACATCTCCCTTCAGAGCAGACAGAACAGGAATTTAGGAAATCATCTCATCAGTTAGAATTATTCTTTCTGTTGAGCGTAAAGGGTGTCAATTCGATCCCTCACGGTTTTTTTGTTTGTTTAGTTGGTTGTTTGGTTTGGGATATGTATCATCTCTCTGCCCAGTGTCTCTGTCAAGGGTGTCTTTCTTTTATATGGTGTGGGTTATAGCTTTATTGATGACTTCTTGCCTTAAAAACTAAAGAAAGTTGCGACGTTGGCTTTAATGTTACTGCATACAAAACTGGGGAGCAGTGAGAAGCCATACATTAGCTTTATATAGTCATAGCTTCGAGGCTAAACCTTCCTGCTCATCACCTGTTGAGGGCCCCCCAGAAGACATTGGTGGGCTGGATTGACACTTTGTGCATTTAAGGTGTCCCGGGAAGTCTGGCTTCTCAGTCTTCACCGCTCAGGTAACAGGGGACTTGGTACCCAAGGCAGCCAGAGCTTCAGAGCAGGAGGCCACTTAGAGGTAGCAGAGGGCAGAAGATGACTAGATGAAGTCCACTCCTGAATCCTCAGTAGCTCAACACACTTGGGGTCCCTCCAGATGAGTGAGTACCACAGGTATCCATGGGGATTAGGGTGCAGCAGCTGTGGGGTTGAGACACAGGTAGCCATGAGGCTCGGGGTGCAGGCAATGACCACACTTCCGGTTCTACCCGATTTCCAGCAACAGTAAGCTGCTCCATGTGTGGTTACATTTATTTCAGTCGAGCAACATGGACATTCCTCTTAGTGTGTGTATGCATACTGCCTCGTTCCATACAACTTTGAATAATTTGTTACAGAACTCATATAGTTCCATAAATTATCAAAATAGCTTTATGATCCCAGGCTTTTAATGTATGGTGTTATCACATGACTACTCGCTGTAACCTACCCTTCATGAAAATGTGTGTGCTAAAGACTCTATCTTCTGTTAGATAATTTGAAAGGTACCCATCTTGAAATGTAGTGTTTCTTAAAATGCTCTACTTTATAGATTTATTCAAGGATTCCCAGAAAATACCAAAAATAAAGTTGACACCAGAGTTCAGTTCCCTAGACACAAAAATTAGGTTTCTTAATTGGGACGGGGACCAACTAATAAACCCAAGTTTTGGTAGGAGCCTGAGTCTGGCTCAGAAGTTGTGGGACCCTCCTGGGGACACAGGTTGTGAGACAGACAGGGCTGTGCCTGAAGCCCTGTGATCTCACTGAAGCCTTTTGCTTTGACACACATGCTTTTCTGGCCCCTGGACCACATTGTCTCATTTGATCCTCTCAGTGCCCTGCCAGGTAGGTACTGTGTTCCACACAGGAAGTCGAGGTTGTGGTGAGTTCCACAGACCATGCACTGAGCTTCTGTCGGCTCCAGGACCTCCACTCCTAGATCCGTGTGGGAGGGGCGACGGTGGTCGGGCCCCGACTGTGTGAAATGGACTATTAGAAGGACAGGCATGGATTCTAAAAGAAGCATGGTGGTTCCTTCGCCCGTCAGGGTTACTGACCAACCCTTGAGAGCCAGCTGCAGTCCCATATCAGGGTCCAAGGCCTGTTAGCGGTGTGGTTCTCCAGCCAGCCTCCTTGCTAGCCCAAGCAGAAGCGGGGTAGGTGTCAGGTTGAGTTAGGTGTCCCTCCACTGTTTGCCTCTGTAGCAGATGTTTCTGAGAGAGTGCCTAGGAGCCATGAAACATTATGTAGGAAAAACAGGCCCTCTGTGACAGTATGCTTCCAGGTTAGGGTGACATAGTAAATAAGGCTGCCCCCACCCCAGATGCCAGAGCCAGGTGGAGTCACCAGCTGAGGGACCAGAGGAACTCTCTGGCAGCTCTTAGCCTCTGTGACGTAGAGAAGAACTTCTGATGTGGGGTGTAGCAGAGGGTGGAGGGATCGGGAGCAGTGAGCTCTGCCTGGTGTGCCGAGCTCACCCATCCTGTCACAGCCAGACTCAGGAGTGGCCCAAAGTCCAAAAAGACCCTGTGGTCCTCCTCTCTCTGCAAAGGTCCATTTCTGTGGGTTTGGAATCTGTCCAGAGACAGGCAGAGGGAAACCCGCAGTGGGTCTGTCACTGTGTGGCACAGGCCTCTCAAGCAGAATCTGGTCTGTGGTGTCCTGATTGCATCACTAAAATTCAACCTACAGACTCCGTGGAATGTCACTTGCCAGTATAGAGACTGATTGGCAGAAGCAAGCATGCAGTGTGTTAATGCAGCTGTCTTAGCAACTGCTCTGCTGCTTATAGAAGAAAGAGGTCATTGGGCTTGCAATTTCAGAGTGAGTCAGCCCATGACCATTATGGTGGCCAGCATGGCGCTGGAGCAGTAGCTAGGAGCTCATATCTTGAGACACAACCATGAGGCGGAAAGAAAGGCAATAAGAGCTAACTGGGAATGGTGTGGGCTTTTTGAAACCTCAGATCCCACCCCCAGTGACACACCTCCTCCAGCAATGCCACACCTCCTAACCCTTCCCAAACAGTGCCACCAACTGGGGACCAACTATTCAAACATGAGCTTGTGGGGTCCATTCTCATTAACATCACAGGAAGAGATTGGGAAATCCAAGCTCCGCAGTTGGCTTCATGGAGAGAAAAGAAGCTGGCCATGCTGGGCAGCTCGGCACACCTGGACTAACAGAAGGGGCTGGTGATAGTCCCTGACGGACCTGGGCCCCCCAGCACAGCTCACTCCCTTGTGCCTGCAGCTGGGAGCCCCAGGACCCTAAACGAGGAAGACGTGGACAGCATCCCACTGGGAAACACGCAGATATGTTTGGCCATCACATCTGTCACATCCATCTTTTCCTTTAAAAAGGAGGAGATGTGAGGGGGAAGTGGACCTTTGTGCTATGGTGGGTTTGAGCTGACATCTTAAACGGGTGGTTTCCACCATCAGACAGAATGCCTAAACTACATGCCGACTGAATGTGGGCTTTTAAAATAGACACGCTGAAACATTTTACAAAATGTAATGCTCAAAAAATGAGCGTATAAGCCTGAGGCTGTGTATGGCATTGTCTCACATGGCCCATGGGGCCCACGTTGTGGGAGACCTGGAGATTGAAACTGTGAATGTTGACCATTTGTCTGCAGTTCACATCAAAGACAGTGGCCAGTGGCCTCTTTAGATCACAGGAGGGATGTCCCCACAAGAAGGTGGGGACAGCATGCTCTGGTGATCCCTAGCTAGCTAGTGCTGGTGTGGCTGAAGACCAAAAAGGTGTCTCGATGATGGCTCAGTGGTTAAGAGTACATGCTGCTCTTGTGGATGACCCAGGTCCAGGTCCCAGCACCCATACCACGCAGCTCACAGCTAACTGGACTGCCAGCTCCGGGAGATATAGAGAATCCCCTCTGGCTTCGTACCTGCACTCACGCATCACTCACACAGGCAGGAATCTTTCAAAAGAGGTGGAGTGGCCTGCTTCCAGGCACCCATGAAACAGGGTATAAGGGAAACCCCTCTCCACCAGGTAGATGCCCCACTGGAGAAACCCCTTGCTAATACTCATGAATGAAGGGATGGCAATAGACAGAGTTGGTGTCTGTGTGTTGAACAGAGGTATAGTGTGCCCTACCAAAGACCCATCCTTCTGTGACAGGAGCTGAGGACAGGGTGCCCTCCTCCCTGATGGCCTGGGCTGTGTTATCTTTGATCATGCTCGGTGGTACCCATCTGTATACCTCTAGGCTCACTCCCCTGAACA